ATTTTAGAGCAAAACGAAGACAAAATAGATACTTTGCAAAGTCTCAGTTACCAATTTTTATCTTAGCTAGGTACAATTAGATTTGAAAATAAAAAACAAAAAGAAATCGAATATATAAAATAAACAAACCATTTATGAATCGCAATGAGAAGTGTGACAGTCTAGAAGCACTTGAGATTATGATTAACATATTGCCTTCGGAAACACTTTGACCTTTCATTGGTAAACAACAAGAACGAAATCCCGAAATCTGCATATCAAGTTTGTGTTTCACCTCCACGTACTCCTCACATGCCGGGTCACATTTGTAGTATGCTTCCGTAAGCTCAAAACGTATTCGTCCTTTTGCCTATAATATGAAAATTCAAATTTTCACGCTTATTTTGGAAATTTTTAAGGCGATAATTTATGAGGTTTCTTTGAATAACATATGCCGGTTTTTGAAGTGATTTTTCTCCTATACATTGTATAATAAACAATGCGCTATCAAACACTTTTGTCACTACAGTATGCAATCAAATATTCCACCGATGATATTCGCCAGTAGCACTTTGAGAAGGATCCGCTATAATTCAAAGTTTGCCATTCATTGTTAGTTTGCAGTTCATACCCACATGCTAAACAAAGCTACTTTTGGTCTTTATTAGTTAATAAATTACCGTAGTTATTAATTTTTGTAGCTGTAATTATTATTATGAATTTTATTACTACAATTGTTCTTTATTACTATAAAAGTTTATACCAATATCATAATAAATCTTTAACTGATAATTTCGGCAGTTGATTAATATTGATTACACTTAACTATAACAAAAACATTACTAATTTATCTTAGCATTCACTTTATCCAATTTTTTCGGAGGTCAAGCAGTTAATCTTTGCTTTGTATTATATTACAGATCCAGTGCATCTTTCTTAATTTATGAGTAGTTATTGCTTACTTATACTTTGAAATCGAAATATTATTGATAAATGTAATGAGTAACTCTTACAGTTTAATAAAATGCATCACATTTTACATGCAGAAATATATCACAATATCCTTCCTAAAAGTTGATATCCTATCTCTTTGTCGCTAGCATCAGATGTCAGTGTAGTCAAACAATAAAGTGTGCGTCATAAATTGTTCGTTTAGCTTCTGATTATTATCATAAACATTATTAATGCGAAGAATCATGAAATATCTAGCAACAAAGTTTCCCACCAAAATGCATTAAATTTTTCGTCGAAAATAATCACTTATTTCAGTCATTGAACTCAGATCTATGGCAGTAATTAAATCTTGGAATAACAAGATTCATTAAATTATTTCTGAATTAAAATTAGTTACGAGAATACTGCAATCGATTGCACTTTTGACCTCCAAAACCTTCAGGACATTTGCATATTTGGCAGTTATTAGGATTTGGATAACCACCATGTTCACAACGAAGATTTGCGGTTCGGCATCTATCTGGTTTATTTCAGTTCGTTATTTTCATCTATCCTTTTTTCATTATGCATGAATAAAATGCAACAAAATAGCAAATATCAAAGGCAAGCGCAAAAGTTTGTTGAAAACTTGATGCTGAATCATTTTTGCTGAGTGATTAAATGTGAGTGAGTGTATTCAAAGGATCATGCAGCAGCTCATTACTCATTAATTATTCCTGTGAGTATAGATTATGAGCGACTGAACATTCCGTTTTGTGAAGAACAGAAGAAAAAATAACTGCTTGAATAAATAAAGGTTCACAATTATTAAGACATACTTATTTAAAACAAAAATATGAAATATGTGCTACTTTTGTACTTTTAAGACTGCACTGCACTTATTATAAAGTATTAGTAATAGCATCTAACTCATAATTGTTAGATGCTATTACTAATACTTTATAATACTTACAACTATAAATAACAAACGTATACTGCGTACTTCTAATTAATTGATGATTACTAATTAGGGACTACAGAATCAATTATTGCTAAAAATTTCTCCTATAAATGTTTCAAAAAATTTTTTGCAGTAATTTTTATCATTAAAATTTGCCTGACTTACCATAGCAATAAAGTAAGTTAATTTGCTTAAAATCGGTAAAAGATGGTGCCACACGATTACCAATTGTTGAACGGTACTTTACGTCTAGAGGATCAACTGTGAAATCCAAAAATCGTCTTGCAAAGCTCTCCAAGTAATTATAATATTGTATACATAAATTATTTTCACTTTTCAAATCAGGATTGCTCCATGCAAGTATTTATTTTCAAATTTTGATGGCTTCAAATCATTTGTTAAATATTAGCTTTAAAACTTTTATTATGTAAAATATGGTGAATATTGCTGAATATACTTTCATGCCTGTAATTATCATTTATAAAATTTTTGTGACATTTGCATACGACTGAGATCTATTAAGTTTAGCTCATTTGTGATTTCGGAATATTGTGAAGTCATTTAAAATTTGATTACTAACGTCAAAATAATCTCTTTTTTATAACTTTACTGATATTTTTTCAGCAAATTTTTGGTATTTAGTGATGGAGGATGCAATTTTCGTAAAAGTAAAAATGCTTACATTGATAGAATAATGCATAATTGATCCGAGATCATACGGAAGACCAAAATCAATCAATTGTGATGGCTTACGTTTTTCAAAATTACCTTCTGTTCCACCGATTGCGTTATTTAAATTAATCCGAACATATTTGTCACGATCTGGTCGTTCTTGCTCATGCCAAAATCCCAAAGCATGACCAAGTTCGTGCGATATAATCCCTAGCTTAAAACAGAATGATTTTTTCATTTAAATCAACACTTTGAATAAAAATACCATTTCCAATTCAATACAGTGAGAAGCTTACAGTCTCACATCCGTCACCGATGGAAATTGTCTGACTACCTCCCAATTTTCCAACATGTGAATAGCATCTGCAACAGAACATTAAAATTGCATCTTAATTTTCTTATTTTATATTCTTTAATTTTTTTGAGTGTAAAATTAATTCCATTAAAAAATTGTAAAGTGAAATGGAAATGACCGAGTAAACTGAATTACTTACCCACTTCCAACTATAAAAAATAAGTAATCAGTAGTTGACTTGTTTTCTTTGAAGCGTAGACACGTTTCTTTTTGCCAGTAATCAAGTGTTTTACGAATACGATTTTGCCAATTTCCTGAGGTCAAAGGCATTTGAACATACGGCCAATTAGTTGATTTAAAAATATTTCAGTTTATTTGAAATATTTTTAAATGCAATGAATTTCAAATATTTATAAAAATGTTTGATCACTGCATTCAGTGCTCTAATATTAATAATTAATGATAATCAAGCGAATTAAACAAATATTTTAAAGTAATAAACAACAATGAAGTTAACTAACTATCGGTGCTTCCGAAACGATATGCAATAGTTTGATTGCACCAGTAATACGTGCAATCAGATATTATTTTTCTTTTTTCACGTGATTTTTGCGCCATATTTACTGCGTTTACTTGGGATAAAGTTAATGCAATATCATTCTCGAAGAGAAGTCCCGTAATATTTATATTTGTAGTAAATTCGTTTTTTGTTTTTGAATTCACCGATGGATGAATGAAAGTACCATCCTAAATAAAAATTCCATCCTTTAACTTTACCAAATTTTCATACTTTATTGATAATTCAAAAAAATTAGCTCCATCTTCTATTATTATATCAGAGCCAAACTAAGAAAAATTACATTATTCAGTCAGTTTAATCAAAAATTAAGAAATACTAGCAGTGAATATAAATTAAAATTCGGTGCGCACACATTTCTCTTCAGTTACAGGTTCAGTAAAACATAATTTTTGTAATAACTCTTACTGACGTAGCAAAATACTTAATAAATATCTATTGTAATGAATTAAACGGACTAACATAAGGGCGATGTTTTGGATCTAATCGCGTGAAATATTCTCGCATTAATAATAATACTTTACCATAACTTTCACCTGGGATTTTGTACCGAGAAGTATGCTTCGACACTTCTTCAATAAACTGAAAATTTAATAGCTAAAAAGCTAAAATTTAGAATTGTAAAAACAGACCTGTAAAATCTTGCGCACTTTCCAACTTCACACATAATTTAAAATGCAATTAAAGCAGTCTAATGTATTTTTATGCATAGCACACGTTGAATTATTTCATATTTTATATAACAGACTTTATATTATAATAATTATATTTTGTTTGAATAGTGGCGGACTTTAGTCATTGAAAAAACTTTTGCACACTTTATCAACACTTTTGTCATAACAAACTCATACTGAAGCTGATTGCTTGGTAAACAAAGCTATTCCATAAACAGTCACGAACAGATTACTGAAAAAACGTTTCTGAATTTTTTCAAAAATAGAAAATTTAAAAAACTTGACATTGTAAAAGCAAAAAGGTAATCTGAAGTGTGTAGTAATTACTCTTTGAAAATGAAAATAAGTAATATGCAAGTGAAGAAAACTTTTATTAAAAAGATTCTTTTAATCAGAAATTATTCCAAAAGCTATGAGAGAAATTTTAAAATTATTTAAAAAATATAAAAAATATTTCACAAACTTATTTTCTCTTCACTTTTCGCTTTTCTAATATTTTTATATTGCATAAATTTTCTTGAAAATTAACTTTTGTCTTAGAACCTTAGAACCTAGAACCCTTGCTGTCCAATTAACTAAAAGTGTAGAAGCGTTTCTTCTCGCATACACTCCAAAATTATGTTCATTTTGAATAATTTTAAGTTCTGACACAGTTTATGCATAAAAATATCAGTTCTTCAGCTGCATGTCAATATATTAAAATTGTATTACTATTATCACAGCCTTAAAAATAACTTTATACAAAATAAATTTTCAAATTTCGCCGATTTTTAAATCAAAAGTAATGGTGATTACTTTAGAGAACCTGCATTCCATATCTGATGCGAAAAATTAAAAAATTACAAAAAGTTTAAAAAAGTGTTTTTTGGCATAAAAAATTCGAAAAATCCGTAAAAACTTGCTTTTTTAACATTTGGCTTTTTCAAGTAAGAATCTTGCGATGACTGAGTAGTAGTAGCATATGAAGGAGGAACTGATTGTGTTGGCAATAGTACAGAAAGCGAAGTTGCTGATGACTGCGATGAAAGCGTATAGTATTCAGTCTGTGTAACACAAAACTTTAAAAATCATAAAAAATTTTTCACAGCTTTTTAAATTTTGTTTCAACTATAAACTTTCATTTTTTATCATAAAATGCAAAAATTGATACGAAATGATAAGCTGATAAAGGCAGTTTGGTTGGAGATAATAGCGGAGATTTGTCTATGATCAGATATGGATCATTCGATGCTGAAAACAAATTATGTAAGTGGAAGGAAATTTCAGCTTAGCAAGAGGATATTTAAAAAAAGTAGCACACCAAGTACTCGATTTGTTTAGTTTGATAAGAAAACTGTTGATTATTTGATCTTTATCAGTTTAATTGATATATATTTGATCTTCAGTTACATCAAGTGACTTTATTACCTAAAGACTTTATTACTTTAACTAGAATCTAATCAGGCAGAATACTGCTTCAATCAGATCAAGAGATATCTAATAATTTAATTTGATCAAAGTAAATCTCACAATTCAAACTTGTAATTAAAAAAACAATTTTTATCAAATATACAAAAGTGACCATCTGTTTTAACTTCTCAAAATAAGTTTCAAGAAATCAAGGAAAAAAAGCTTGCGCATGGCATTATGCGACCTCCGACAAATGGTTCCATATCAGTTTCGTCTATATCCTCAGCAGTAACAATGGATATAATAACCAACAATAACAGTTTGTAATTCATATTTCTGTCAGATATTTGTAACTGCTTTTATCAGTACTAAATGCAGTCTAAGACAATTTGAATTTGCTTTCTGCCAACAGCGGAATGCTCTGGAATGAATGCATAATTTAAAAATTTAAAAGTCAATTAAAATACATTGCAAACAAAACTTGAAGAAATCTGAAACACTCATAATTTAGTCTCAATGAAATAAGTTTAAATTACTGAAATTAATTTTTGCATTTTTTGGATAAGATTTGAATGTTCTAAAATGTGAAAATTTATTTGCAACTAAATTCAATAATCTAAAACTCGATTTATTCAAATTATTTTTGACTATTTATTTTTGCACTATTCTATGCATAATTTATCAAAATAGAAATCAAAAATCAAAGGTCAAAGGTGCATATAAAAATGCGATGAATCATTGAAATCTCGAGTAATTTATCACAAATCAAACGATTTTTTATCCAAAAAGATCAAGTATTTGCTAGTACATTCAGGCAGCAATGATCAACTGACTGATGCAGAAAGAATTGTATGAGCGAAGAGTTCAAAAGTTTTCAACAAATGTCAGTAAAAATTTTGCGATGGTAATAATTGCGATATGTTTAAAATATTTAACCGATTTTATCCACTTTAATTTTCTGGCGTTTCAACTTCAGCACTTTAATAACTTTTTTAGTAATTTTGTAAAATGTCATCGAAAAAACGTAAAATTTCAAGCACATTTTACGACTTAAAACAGGAAAAATGCTATATTTTGGTCTTACGAATCAATAAAAAATTTTATCTGTGAGAACTGTACAGTTCAAAGGTCGTCAAAATTTGTTTGAATTGAAGTATTGAATATTTGAACAAAAAGCTATATAAAAGTCAAAAAAATCAGAAACTCGCCTGTTATATTTATTAGAAAGCCATCTCGTCTTGTTTTTAACTCTTTGAAACTAATATACTCTTTGGATTGTAAATTTGTGAGTAATTATTTGAGCTGAAAATTTGATACATACCAATGACTTCTCGCATGCATAATGTAAACATAATCAGTAGTAGAAACTGCAAAGCAATTTTCAGTGTTTGTATTTAGAAAATAACAAATGAGGAAAATATTATATTGCAGCAAAGTTATTATAATAAAGAGATTAACTTTATAGCCCAAAAATTCATACAACTATTTTCATAAATGAAAGATTATTCAAATTGAAAAATCAAAATTATAGGATTTGTTCTTAGTTTTCAAGCCATATTTTTGCTATTAAAACTAACAAAATTATTTTATTAGTAAGCTGATAGTTTTCGTTCGCAACAGCGCTTAAGTTGCTTCTATCCAAAATTAACTCTTTGCTCTGGCCAATATTACAATTACTTTATTAGATGGCACTAAGCGACCTATTTTCAAAGTCCGCCTGCACATTTAGACTAATTAAATAGATACTAAAAAGTAGTAATATTAAGAGAGTCTGAATACGAAGAATCTTCGAAGCAAAAAATGTAATGGATTCTTTGAATTATTTTTGGTCTTCCAACTATAGTTTTGTTTCCACAAATTGTCTTCTTGCATAATTTATAATCTCAATTATTTTACAAACAGTTGGTCTTTTGTATCTGATAAAGCTTGTGACTTTCTTAAACGAATCTGTCCTTTCTTACCTTAGCGTACTTCCAGAACTTGGCCTGCAGGTCTTTTCATTATGAAAATATACTTCAGATTTATAAAAATCAATCAATCAATCAAGAAAATTTCCGTCTTTTCTTACATCATACCAATCAACTAGCCAGTCAATATCCATTGATATGAATGAGCGAAAATTGGAAAAGCGTTATTTCAAAAAATATATATTTCAGTTCTACAAAAACGGATGTCAAAAGCTACTTTTTTTCAGCTCAATATCAGTCAGTTATTCGATTGGCATTGATTGAGATAAGATTAGTTGATAGGATTGAGCAGTATAAGATCACTTAATTTGTATATATTTTTTGTTTATTATAAAATAAGATAAACAGTGAGTGATGAATACTTGCCAGCACATATATCAATACATATTTATAGATCTATCTCAGGATGCAGTAAGTATTCAGTTTAATATCCCACTGTCGAATAATACCTGCTTCAGATCGTTCGAACAAAGTCATGCAATTATCACCAATGCTGCCATCATGAAGTCAAATACCGATTGACGTTGAGAAACGATAGACAAACTGAAAAGTATTATTACAGACTCTATAGAGTGCTAAATACAAAAACCTTTCAGCTGTTTGCCTTCGCCTGATATTTATTTCGTCTCTATAATTTTTCGACTAATGCTGCTTGTATGCAAGAACTTTCCCACCAAATGTTCATGGAAAAAATGAAATAAAATGCATGCAAACGCTTTTTACGCGTACATTTCTTCAAAAAAAAGGCATTATCTTTCATTTGAATCAAATTTAGGTCATTTCTTGAAATTTTATACCAATTATTGAAATATATTTTAATGCTCGCTTAGTTCAAATCAATCAATCTTTAAAATGACTGATCTGCTTTGTGTATAATAATAATAATAATAATAGTAATAATAATAATAATAATAATAACATAAATGATAATAATAATAATAATAATAATAATAATAATAATAATAATAATAGTAATAAAGATAGTATTTTAAGATAATAATCAAAATAATAGTACTGAAAGAACATTAAAAAATGATAATAGCGTACAATTATTAAACAAAAATAAGAAATTTCAAGTTTTATTATAATGATCAGATCATTAAATCACTCGAAACTATTTTTCTGAGCACAAATTAATACTACACAAAACATATAACTTGTAAATAGCAAGGCATGGAAGAAATCGCAATTATGTTTCAGAGGATTTATTAAAACAAATTATTCAAAATGCAATTACAATAGTTTTATGTGAGTGCTTACCTATCACTCTAACAAAAAATATAAAATTTTGCAGACATTTTTTTTGTAAAAAAATGATTATTATGACATTTTCAGTAAGCAATATTTTTAATGAAAAATAAAAAGTTGTGAAAAAAATCAGTTTTGGAATATTTAAGATACAGAAGTATTTTCTAACAAACAATTAAATGAAAATGCCACGTGGAGTTTTTTTAAAGTGAAGTCAACAAGAAATGAGGCTTCTAAGTCTCAATCTCAGTTCAAAAATCTCCGATTAAAAGTGATCTTAAATTTTTGGCTTTTCGAAATAATTCATTCTTTATAATTATGCTATGAAAATCATCAGAAATGTTGGAAAATTTGAATTTGCTAATTTGTTTAAAAAAAATCTTTTGTTATGCCATTATCAGACAACTGATAAGCCTTTCAAGTTTTACTTTACCATGTAATTTTGATTGCAAAGTTGTCTAAATACCTGCAAAAATAACCACCATAACCCGAAGGTCAATAAATTTAAATGGACATTTCTTCGTATTTATCAACAAAAAACGCACTTAAAATCCGTGAATAACAATTTACTAAATCAATGGCTACATTTACATGTATACATTTGTGTTGATTACTTTTATGAATATATATATATATATATATATATTCATAAAAATAATCAAAACTTTACTGTATATATTACTTTAATTTCTCTAAAACTATTATAGCTAATTTATTTTTAAAAATTGTTGAGGGTTAAGTAATTTCTCGCTATCAGTATTCAAGTATTTAATGAACTCATAGAGCGACAGCTAATTTGTCGAATATATGAATAAACTGAGAAGAATGATGAAAAATTATGCAAAAAAATCATCAAAATTTGCCAGAAAGAGTAAAAATTCATGAGAAAAGGTTGTAGTACTTGAGCAAATCATGAAAATATGCAAACAAATATAATATGTTATAAATTTTGATAAAAATCTGATAAATTCATTCATTGTACAGCAAATCATAATTAAGCGTTGGTTGTCTTTATCACTGACAACAAAAATAGATGCTCCAATTGCTGATTGTGGGATATGTTATCTACGAAATTGTCTGCTTATCAAATCTACCAGATGCTGGAAGCTATGCCCCTCCGCCTCCATCAACTTCCGTTTGTTCCATTTTATTAGATACAAAGCAAAGAGCTATTCCATGCTGATAAAAGTGAAACTAGTTGAAAATAAAAACAAAGCTACTAAATATTCACAGTTATTTGAAGACACTGAACTCCATGGGTGAATACTCAGAGTTGAATTATTTTATCAAATTTAGCATTAATTTAAAGTAGCAGATGGCTAGATAGATTATTCATACAAATTATGCAAAATTGAATTAATAAACTCACTCAGCAAAAAATTATGCTAATTAGCAAGAAGTACAGAAAAACAGTCGTAATAGCTGAAAATGACGACAGCAAAAGTTAACTTTATCGTTATAACTAATAAACTCTCTTGCTGATCTCAGTTAGTTCAAATAATTGCAATATTGTTTAAGTGAAATTTTATTTGTTCAAAAATTTCAGCCCGAAAAAAAAACGCAGTGATTAGTGAAACATCGAAGAAGTGAAAGGCAAATATACCTAATATTAGTGACAATATTTTAAATGTATTGAAATATGTGAATTTTCAATGAATATACCTCTTAACAATTCAATCACGTAACGTATTTGCATTACTACGTAATCATTAATCAATCATGAGATTGCGCTGGGATGTCAAGAAGAAATAGCTTGTAAAGAACGAGCTTGTAAAATTTGTTCAACGCTTATTTTGTATGTGTTGTGGTGATTATAAATTCTTTCAAAAAAGCTTTCTTAAACCTGCTTGTACATAAGCCACGTAATTAAAGTGTATTTCCTCCTTACGTCGTCACGTCATGACTTGCATTTTACACTTTTATTGTGAATCTTTTCTATGCTGTTAATTTTTGCCCAGCCTTTTTTGGTTTAGCTTAAATCAATTTCAGCTGTATTTTAATATGAAATTATTCCACAAATTATTCTTTTAATCGTTATTTTTGTTTTTTCCCTCCAATTATTAGGGGCAAACCTTTGTAATAAAACATTAATTTTCGTTTCGAACTTTTAAAATTAATTTTTATTTGTCTTTTAAATATAAAATGTGCATTAGCTTCAAAATAATTCTTCTTTTGGAAACTTAGAAGTACATAACATTTAATTTTTTCTTAGCCTTAGAGTCTTAAGAAGAATTCTAGCATACTGTCAAAATTTCATAATATGCACCTGAAAAGAATGAAAAAAGTGTGGCTATTAATTTTTGTTGCTATGGAAGGCAGGAAAGTTGTGGGAGAATGTATGAAGTGTAAAATTGATGATAACAGTAACAGAGCACTGAAAGTGTACGAATAGGTCGGAAACTTTTCAAGGAAGTGTGGAAATTTTAGATACCGCAGAGATTGAGAGTGTTTTGCTTAGAATAAAGCAAGGTTGACTTGATTGCTTAGTTAGAATGTGTGAAAGTTAGGCAAATTACTGTCTTTTGATTACAGAGAGCAAATGTCGTTAATATCAGACATTGTATGGATTAAGCGTGGAGTTCCGAAAGCTCAACCAGATAAAGTGCGATTAACAGCGAATGAAATTAGCGAATTATTAAAAGGTTACTGATTCATTTTTTGTTTTTTTTTCACTAGCTGAATGCAGTATTTTGAAGAGAAAAGAGTTTGACTTGTTTTCGGATTCAGATTCTTTAACATAGCGAAAATCCTAGTCAAGAGGACTATCATTTTTCCTTTCTTTTTTTGGATCAAAATAATGTCTAGCAGTATTTTTGAAATGATAATTGATTATAAAAGTTGGTGGGTAATTTTATTTAGGAATTTTAAACAAAAATTAAATATGATACAATTTTACTCTTTAGATGGTGCACCGGAGGCCACTGAATATTCTTCTGATGTAGAAGACGAACTACAGCCGGTTATTTTTGATGATTCTCGAGCAAAAAATTAATTATGCTAGTTTTGATAACAAGTATAGGAATAATAAACAGCTCATTTAAAAAATGTTACCGATGTGGTTTAATAATTTCATACTTTTGTTTAAATTCCTTTTTTTTCAGAGGGGTACTCAGGGTTCTAGTCCAGATGTAAACGATGTTGTGGGCATGCACAAGTATAGGTTGGATCGGTATGAAGAAACCAACAATGAGGGGTAGGTGTAAAATAAATTTTCTATTCTTTCAATTTCGTTCATCATTTACATCATTGCTGTAATAAAAGACGGAACGAATAATAGAAGATAATCATGCATATAGTGTTTCAAATCAATTGATTTGATCAGTGGTTTTATTGTATTAAATATTTTGAATGTCTTTGCAAACTGCTATCCATTGAACAGTTCATGCATTTGTTTTTTTATCTGATTTTAATCAGCAAAATGCAGATCTAATCCTCTGGCTGGAATAGCAATGTTTGCATCGCCTATGGAAGATCCGCACGTTACAACTCAAGTGGATAGTGATGAAGAAGAAAGAGAAGATTTTCAAGTCAAACCGGATGATAATTTTGTTGTAGTTGGTAAAATTTTCAAGGTGAGATTTACTTTAATGATTTGTTTTGTAAAACTGTATATGTATTAAAGAGAATCACTTTAGGTTTTTTTGGATTAATTTACGTAATTGTTTAGAATGAATATACTTTGGAGGTATATTTGTATAACGAAGCAAATGATGACTGGTATGTTCATCACGATTATATTTTGGACATACCACCATTGTGTTTGGAACCAGTATATTTTGATTTTGGAAGTGAAGATAAAAAAGGAAATCTTTTGGCAGTAGGTGGTATGGATGCATCAATAAATGTTTGGGATTTAGATTTGGTAAATTCAGTGGAGCCATTATTTACTCTAGGAGGAGTAAAAAAAACTAACAGGTTTATTTCATTGCATCCTTTGGCGATACAATTGCATTTAAGTTAGGATTCAATAAGATCAAAATGGTTTGAAGAAAGCGACAGAAACGTGATGGTAGTGCTCAGGGCCATAGTGATGCAGTGCTTTCATTGTCGTGGAATCACCTAACTGAACATGTACTTGCTTCTGGAAGTGCTGATAATACCGTTATTTTATGGGATCTAGAGGAAACAAAACCTGCAACTGTTCTAACAGATTTTAATGGAAAGGTTACTTGACCTTTGCTATGATAGTATTCATAGATTGTTATTTTAAAAAAATTTGTAAAAAATTGACCCGAGCTATTTGAATATTTGAAGAAGTAAAAATTTATGTTGTTGTTAGCCAGATAATTACTTTGAATATCTGCTGTTCTGCTTTTTGAATTAACAGCAGTTGTAGGTGCAGTCAGTAATGTGGCATCCAGTGGAGTCACCTATCCTTCTAACAGGAACTTTATCAGGCCAAGTTGGAATTATCGATTGTAGAAACTGTGATACTTTGTCGAAACAGTGGGATATTAATGGGGAAGTAGAACGGCTTGCATGGAATCGTTTCTGTCCTTTTTATTTTTTCGTCGTCACTGATAATGGTGAGTAATATCTCTGTTGTGTTTCAAATTAATTTTCTAATTAAAATGTAGAGAATTGACTTTGTTATTGCTTTTTATTCAAGTTTTATGTCTTCTATTTTCATAGGTCATTTATTTTATGTGGATACGCGGGCTAATGGATCTGTTTTCTCCAAAAAAATACATGAGGGAAGTGCTCATAGCATCGAGCAAAGTTGTTATACAACAGGTTTATTATCTACGTCTGGTGAAGATGAGGTAATCTTGAAAATTACTTGATTTGTGCATATCTTCGTGATTTGTGCATATCTTCGTCATTTTCTTAATGTGGCAATGCAAAAATTGATGAAAGCAACCATTTATAGTTTTCTGGTAGTTTTTACAGTTTGACAGACTTCAATGTAATACTTTCTTACTTTATGATGATATATGTAGATTAAATTTATTCTTTTGTAAACTCATTTTTCGATTTTTAAAATAATTTTTTATTCGACGGAAAGAATAAGCTTTCAGCTTTTAAAAATTTGGCGGTTAAAAGATGATGGCACTGATGTAGAACTTATCATCGAGCGAAAGATGGGTCTTGGTAATTTACACGTTTGTCGTTTCTCTCCAGACTCTGGGGCTGTGCTAGTGCTTGGTGGTGAAAAGGAAGAAATGGTGAAAGTTATTGATGTAAGCAAATTTGAAGAAGTACAAACAGCTTTCAGCTAATTACTTTTAAGATCAATATTAGTTTTGCTCAATTCTTCACAAGTTTACTTGTTAAAATAAACGTTTATTTAACTAAATAAAGTGGGATTATTTGCTATTTTGCATCAATTGTTACCATAGCTTTTATGATTATTTGAACCTGTTGCCTTTTTCATTCATATTTGCTATCTTTCTTTAGCACTGAGTGCTTAGAAAATTTATATTGTCTCACATTAACTACTGCTTATGTTGTACAAAATGTATGCTGTATTTCTAATAAAAAGTAGTATAAAATATCCTTTTAATTTTAAAAATGTGGGTTGTATAACGATTTTTAATAAAGCTGATTTTAAAATAAAGTTGTACTTTAGTTTTATTTCTATTTCAGCAGCAGAAAAAGAGGAAAGTTTGAAATATTAAAGAATGTACATTTGGCTGACATTCTTTCCGTTTCTTAAATTATTTTTTCGTTGGAAGAATGAGATCATTTCAGATTTGTCACCAATAATTTCATGTTTTGAATTGCTTGATGTGTGTAAGAATATTTTTGACTTTTTGGACGAAAATTAATGATGGCAGTTTAGAGAAAATGTTCAATGCAAGCATCCACCAACTTTTAAGACGAATTCAAGCGATTTGAAAAAGTTCGAAAATTCCTTAAAAAGAATTTGAATTGCAGTTATGCAACTTCATAGGATACTGTGTGATGATCAGTATTGAGGACTTTCATGGGAATGCTGTGGGAAAACCATAGTAATAGATTTTAACATGATGAGAAGTCTTGTTGTGTGGGGAATGAAGGATGGACTTCAAAAAGTTAACATCACAATGATGGTGGTGATATGAAAAAAATATTAATTTTTTTGATTATTAACTTGACGATAATTATATCATTATTAATCGGTAATCAATAATTATTATCATTATTAATTGATAATTGGTAATGATAATAATACATATCGAAAGATAGAGGATGATAAGTTTTGCTGAACAAAATAGATATCATTGCTGAGTAAAATTCGTAGTATGCCAAATTTTGATCTGATCTGTAATCAAATATCGACGCCAAAGACATTTGATGTGCCTTTTGATGTTTGATATCTTCATAAAAAAATTTCTTCTGAAACGGAAGCACTGCCAAACATTCATAGTTGTAGAATGTTTTCAACGCCGGCAAAAAACTTTTCAATACCACAAAGGCATCTTTGTGGTATTGAAAAGTTTTTTTTTTTTGAACTGCGTGCATCTGATGAAAGATTTCTTTCATCAGATGCACGCAGTTCTTTACTTTATGTCATTTGCAGTAAATGCACTAAAAACCTTTACAAAACATTTTTCACTATTCTTAAATTTGACTTTTAATTTCAAACTTTGCGCTAAAACTGTTTTTCACACAAGCAAGTATTTGCTTGCACAATTTTTCTTCTTATCAAGTCAGTAGTTTAATCACAACACGTCACGTAAAAGTCTCGTCTATATTACTATTTCGCATATACAACGCTTAAAGCTGATGGGTTAAATTTAGACCGTTTTACCAAAATTGCATTCATATTTTTGACTGCTGCAAATTATGCAAGTCAAAAATGTGATCACATTGTTGAATAAAAAGTAAAGATTTATTTTGCATATTTATTGATAACAATAAAATGAAATGAATACGATAGTGAGATGATCGTACCACAGACTACGATGAAAATATCAACAGGAAAATAAACCACAAGCATGCACAGCTAGACATTCATTTGTAACAGAATATATTATTTCAGGATTATCTGGCACGCTCAATAAACAACATCCATTTGAAAACGTGTTTTGAAGCATCTAACTGAAGAGATGTAAAAAACTCAAGTTGATCGCAATTTGACTGAATTATTTCTTCAAATGGCGTTAAAAAATTTTGATTTTTTGAGTTGTTAATTGGAAGTCTATACTTTGGAAATATAATTCTCAGATAAGAAATGAGATTCGGTGATATTTATCAATCGCATCAACAATTTATCACTTTTGTTCCATGACAGAATGTCTGAAGTGGAAAAACTTTTATCAAGTCATAAAGTGTTACTTCCTCCTACTTTCTTCATCTTCACAAATGAAATAGCGATACTGAAACTGCAAGTTTCACTAGCTATACCGCACTGATTGTAAAATCTTAAATCTTTCGTTTCTTTTTTGCACTGAAAGTATTCAAAAAGAATTAATTACTTTTTCAGTGCTTCAGAATTCTTAATATCAATCAGATAGTTGGAAAAATCTGATTTTCCACAAAATGCAAAAAAGCTATGCAAAACTAAAAAAGTATTGACAAATAATGCTAAATTCAAACAAAATCAGTCACAGTAAAAAGCATGAAAATTAGCATCGGAAAAGAAGGCACATTCACTGCATGCTTGCAAGCATCGAAAATCACTTCTCACATTTTAAAAAGATAAAAAAACAAAAGTCGACGAAAGACAGTTTGAAATTTCACAGATATATTTGCTTGACTGTAATAATACGAAAACATAATTATGATTAGAAAAAAAATCACAAACATTATCCGACTATCATTAATGAATCACAATATATTCAAATGTATCTGAATCATAAGATATGGGAAATCAGAGTTAAGCATATTCAAAAAACATTTCATCTATTCAAGGAAGTGCTCAAACTTTTGCCATGGCACAAAATACAGTTTTCAGAGCAAAAAAAACAAACATTCATTTAATATCACACGGTGTAATTATCACAAATCAATCTGATCAGTTTAAAAAATATTTGACATTTGGTAGATTTAGAAACACAATCAATCATAAATCATAAAAAATTTCTCGTCTTCAAGAATTTAATTTACAGTAAAATTGAGAACTTTTTTTGAAAAACTTCAAGATTTCATCTTCAAATGTTTGCATATTCGTTTTTATTAAAACGAATAAAGTAATGATTGTTTGCGCAAAAACCTTTTGAGGTTTCTAAACTGCTTGAAACTAAATTCGCACTTTAATGAATTTTGCATACATTTTGCAGATTTTTGAGGAAATGAATAAGCCATTACTTGCAACTGGAAAGCAATGCAATCTATTGCAATACGATCAGCTGCTTCAAGTTCTGCAGCCCCAAAATTGTCCAGGATGCACCAAAATGAAATCAGCAGCATTAAATCTGTATATGTAGCATTCACCGAGGCATACTGATAAAATTGCAGTAAATTAATAAAAAGCAAGTACTTGATGATCGAAATGCAATTATTAATTAAAGGATAAAAGCAAAATTTTTAATCGTTCTCAATCAATTACATAAATATCTGCCAAAAAATGCATTCAGGGAAAATGAAACATGCACGATTTTAATATTTGCCTGTTTCTTTTTGCCTTTTTAAGGAAAAATTGTTGGTGCAATAATTATGAATATGTAAAAATATATAATCACATCAGTACTTGCTAAGATCGATTGCAGATTAATAATCCATCACAAATGAGAATCATATGAATGAGATGTAAGCATCGCAATTAATTAACGGAAATAGAGACAATGAGACAAATTAGATTCAAATTTCAATCATTTTTGTTCTATCTAACATGAAGATGAAATTTTACAATGGCAAATTCCGTTTTCCAGAAGTGCAGAATGGAATTTGCTGCTCACAAAATTTGTGTAAGTGACCCCATCATATTCTTCCATGAAGTTGACAAGAACCCAAAAATTGCCTAACGTAAAAAAGCCCGCAAATCTACACTATTTTTTTGTAATAATCTTCAGAAGTCTAAACTTAATTTCAGCCGTCATTTCACATAAATGAAGTTTGATATTTGATCTTTAAAGAATGAAATTAATCGAAAATTCTAATCTTTACTTAACTTGGTAACAGTTTCAAATAAATTACAAATCTCATCTTCTGTTCTTGAAACTGAATATAGCTTCTGAATAAAAATACTATTTTTCAGCACATTTATTTTCACAAAATTTAGCATTGCAAATACTAAGAAAGAAAGTTATTTTATTGATTTGATAATTTTCGCTCAGTAATTTCTCTTATTATATAAAGCATTAAAAACACTCTTTTGAATTTTACGCTTGAGAAACGAATAACATTTGCAAACATGTTCATTCTAAGGAATCAGATTTCCTTCAGAGTGATTATTTATTTTATGCTAATTCAATAATTTTAATTAAAAATTAAGATTCGAAAGATTCACAACAAAACTGATAAAAGTTATGAATAATTTGAATGAAAGACATATCATAATTATTATAAGAATCGAGAGTTAACGACATAGATATCAGCTAAAAACATTTGTTACTTAAAAAAACAGTTCAGATTCAATTTTTAATAAATAAAAACAATACATTTTAAGAGTTATATGAGCAAATTACTGCATTTAATTACCAAACTTACAGATAAACAATCGAATAAACATACAAAATATTTGCATAAAAGATTATTATCAAAACAGTCAATTATAAACCACTAACAGAAAACCAAAATAATTACTAATCCTAAAATTAATGGACCTGGAAAGATGCGACACACAAGCAAAATACTTATTCTTCGTGAGCTAAAATTACTCAAAGAATATTTGAATATTAAAAAAAACTGTGTTGCTTAACTTTCAAGCAAATAACTTCAACCTTTTTAATAAATTTTCTCTGATTCATGCTAGCTTCATAAGGAAACTTTTTAAGATCCAAATTCATTTAAGGTGCATTAAATCAAACAAAATTGGCATCCAATAGCAACACCTCGTAAAAATGCTTTGAACGCCAATTTTATCCGCGTTTTCTTGATAAAAACGAACTTGAAAAATCAAGTCAATTCATAATCAAATTACATTTTGTTGTCAAAATATTTCTCCTTTTTGCAGTTGTCAATTTTTGAAAATTATAACGTTAAATGTCGCAGTTTTATCCCATTCATACAGCGCAAAGGTTCCAAAATTTAAATAAAGTAGAAAAACAACAAATTTTGTAATTTAAAAAACACAAAAAAATATAGATCGAATTCTAGCAAAAGTGTTTCTGCCACCGCGAATATCCATGTTGTTGCTGTTCAATTAACATCGAAAAAATCAGCGCTCAAGACTTCTATTCATAGCTTAATTAATAATAAGGATATCAAGTACTGTAAGCGATTAAATAATACAAACAAAACTAAAAGCATTCTTATGATAAAAATTTTGCACAGTGAGGTCAATTTTTATAGTTATGTGTCATGAAGTTATTTGAACAGCGAAAGGCCACTGTCATCAGATGACCTCAAGAGATCAGAGACTGTTCTCGATGGCAGAATCACCACAATTTAGAAATGAAATTCATAATTATTATCAAGTATACGATAAAGAATTGAGAAAATCTGGATAATTCGAAAAATTTTCTTTCATACACACAAAACACACACACACACACACACACACACACACGCACACATGCAGTAACAGTTTAGACTCTAATCCAAATTTATCCAGAAAAAAAGATCAAAATCAATACATATTTAATGAAAAAAAAGTCAACAAAGAAGCAAAGTTGATTGGAGACTACAATTTAACAAGTCATTATTTATATTTTGTGTGTTTTTTTAAATTAAACAAGTCAACTGTATCTACCTTTCGTTAAATAAGTTCAATGCTTGACAAATTTAACTGAAATTACTTTGAAATTACTAACTGCCATCATTGCAGAGCTAATCAATAAAAAATCATTGATAAAATATGAATGAATCAATTGTTGTGTAGCATAAATTTTGGTACATGGATTAAATGAACAGATCTGGCATTCGAGCAATAAGAAACAGTAATTCCAGAGAATCTTTCAGGTAAATAAATGACGCTTCCGAGAAAATTTCTGACTACCTTTCATACCTCAATAAAAGCGATCCTTCCAAGGCACACCTGCAAATTGTGCTGCACTGAAATTTAGGATACAAATTCAAAAAGCAATGTTGTAACGCAACGAAATTTAGAGATAAATTTTTGTACATTTTGTTTTAAAATATTTTTTAAATTTATTAATTCAAAAAAATACCAAACTTCATTGTAAATCAATCATTTTCTGTAAAATTACTCCTCAAAGATCACAGAGTTTTCTTTGAATAAGAAAGTCGCTAACTATTAAAACGCATAAAATGCGCTACTAATTACAAATTACTTTTCTGACAATAAATCACTGCTATGAATTCATTGTTTTGGCAAAAAACTGCTCATGCAGTTTTCGTAAGTAGTCTGAAAGAATCGAAAAGGACAGATTGATATAAAATTCGAATTACTCATTTCATTTCATAGTTGTTATCACTAATTATCAGTTGTCGGTCGAGCAATTGTAATCTTATCTGCTGTAATATTATCACATGTCCCACAATTTTGTTCCATAACAGTTTCTTGAGGTTTACTCTCAGGTTTTGTTGTTTTCAATGAATACTTCACCGTTGTTCGCGGGGCTGCCTTCAAGGCAGTAGATGTAATACTATGCAAGTTTCGAATTGATTGCTCACTTTCTTTTCCTGTAAAAATCAACTTAATGAATATTTTTTACAGTCTCTTCTAGAATAAAACAGTGAAAAGATTACGATACAGAATTAAATCTTATCACAGCAATTAAATAATAATATGCTTTACGCACAAACTTTCATGAAAGTTATATCACAACTCTAAGCAGAACTATTCGCAAAATTTTTCATTTCACCAAATAAACATCTCTCGCTGATCACCTCTGCTGATTCAACCCTAGTTGGCATATGAATGCGATTTGCAGAATGAAAAAAAATTAATATGTTGTTTAAAAATTTGCATAATCCTTCTCAAATGCAAATTTGTACGTCCTCAAACAAATTGAAATTAATGTCAGTATTTGTTTTTCCAACCGTTGCAGTTGTTATTTATGACACCTCTTTATTCTAATACCTGTATTAAATTCAAAATTTGGTACGTTAATTATGAGTCCATCATGTGCGATTACTACTTCTTGAAATTATTTCTGCCCTTAACAAAATAACAGTGTTATTCAACTTTATTACTTATGTAAATGCTGCACTATAATCTAACTTTGAACAATTTATTAACAGCACTTGACATGCATAGACATCAAATAGCTTGAAATTGTCAATCTAATAGAAAGCCAGACGTCATGATTTGTGATCAAATAAATTAGGTATCATTTGATTGCAACGTCAGATTTAGTAGTCGAATAGATTATATTTTCAGTGTGTTTATTAAGACAAATTTAGTACCCCAAGATGATTTACGAAAGATGATTGGAATCATTTATATCCAAATTAATAAGAGAATTTGTAACAAATCGGCCCAAAAATACACGCAAATAGCAGCAAATTTAATGCAAAAGTGTCTGAATTAAAAATTAGTTTTTTAAAAATGTTTGCAAACTTTTGCAATTAAAAAATATTAATTTTGCAAAATGACCAAAAATCCTCGCACTTTTTGCACAAAATAAACTTACGAAAGCATAATATTGTCAATTATTAATCTACTATAAAAATTTTATACTGAAAAAACGAGCAATTTGTTGCCTAAAACTGGAAAATACTCGAAAGTAATTGAAATTAAACTGAAAAATTTAATGTAACAGAGAACGAAAAGCTAAACTATACCACGTTATGATTTTTTTTATAAGAATGAAAATTAAATTTAAATTCAATTTGAATAAGTAACTAGAGCTGAACTGAGAATTTTTCCGCAAGACTGAAAATGCTAAAAATATTCGAAAAATAAAAATTTAAGTTAGTGTGTGAAGAATCGGAGCTGAAGACTTTTTGGAACAATGGAAAATTGGTAAAAATATCTCAATTATAGCTATTCTTCAAATTCCATAAATTCAAAAATTAGCACCAAAAAGGAAAATTCAAAAAGTGTAATTACTTCTGATTAGAATTAGCTAAAAAGTGTAAAGAAATGTGCATCTTTGAATTAAATAGCTGCAAATTTGAATAATTTCTGCGTCATTTATTATAATTTACGTGAAATCAATGCTCAAAAAGTGGTCAAATATATAAAAGAAATTAATGCATAAGTTTTGAAGAATTGCGGAATAAATGGCAAAATTTTACACAAAAATAATAGGCGAAAAAAGGCGAATGTGTGTAATAAAGAATGAAAAGCACACTAAATGATCACAAATCGACAATAATGTAATGACTGTAATTTTTTCACTGTGATTTTATAAGAATATTTTCGGAATAAAAGTTTGGCAACTATTTATTATTCAATCAATCAATCAATCAACCAATCAATCAATCATTCGCTTACTCATTTATCATTGATTTATTCATGTACTTTGAATATAGCTAAACTTTTGAGAAAAATTATCACAAACTAGTCACTAGTAACTATGTGATTAGCACAAAATTCATCAAAAAACATACCATTTCGCTAAAATAGCCATCAAATAGAGAGCGAAAAAAAATTTTTAAATATTATTTCAAAATTTTAATTTTTTAAATGTAAACATTGTTTTGTAACAGAAATTGATGCTAATTAGTAATAAATTAGATCTCAGAAAGAAAAAAGGAGCGATGTAGCCTGAAGTTGCTTGATAATATCTTAAACAAACTAATACATACGATATTGAATATTGATATTTTCTAGAGAAGTGATATTAATATCATACACACACACACACCTACATACACATACACACACCTACATACACATACACATACACATACACATACACACACATACAGACGCACACATACAGACGCACACATACAGACACATACAGACACACGCACACATACAGACACATACAGACACATTGTAAAGTGTTAATGCTACTAATGTTTCTTGAGAGGGGAAGGAGAAGTTTGTAAGAGAATGGAAGTATGTATTTTTTCGAGAGCAAAACGATGAGCAAATGAATCTGAAAACAATATTGATGAATGTAACATCCCTCATTTTGAAAATATGAACGAGAGCAGACAAGCGCTGGAGAGTAAGAGTTAAGGTCACGGTGGAAAAGGCTGCAAGTCAGCAGGCTCGAGGAAGGTTCACACTTGAACAGCACTAGAGGTGGGTGGACTGTAAATGGGAAAAAGTTCAGTGGCTATTAATTTGTAAATAACAGCTCGTTTAATCACTTAGCTATGATAAACCATAAGGGCAGTACAAATAATTGCGTTGGAAAGAATAAAATTTTTGAATCCGAATGACCATCTCAACAATTTGATTTTTTAAATGCCTTGCAACTGAAGTAAATTAAAATGACTTTTCGGAAAACGAATAAAAGAAATTTAACGTGAAGTAACTCAACACGTGAATAATAATACGTGCAGCAAAAATTAATCATCGAATATAAACGCTGAAAGTAAATGAACAAAATCAAAGTTTTGCACTAAAGAGGAAATGCAAAGAGCAGAACAACCCGCACAGTGTTTTGCACACTAAACAATTCATACATCCATCGGTGAAGAAAATTAAGATATTATTGGTTGATCTATCTATCTATCTATCTATTTATTGGTTTATTTAATTATTTATTTATCTATCTGTCTATCCAATTAACCACTCATCAATTTATCTATTCTGATCTGTGTATTCCCTTATCTAACCTGATCCCAGCTTTGTTTTTTGTTTTTTTGTTTTTTTTTTTTTGTTTTTTTGTTTTTTGTTTTTTTGTTTTTTTTAATATTTATACAGTTGTTATTTTATCAACAAGTTATTTTGTTACATATTTTGGACAGTTATGTTATTTCATTTACTAATAATAAATATTACTTCAGTTATTAAAATTTCTTCACTAAAACTCTTCTTTGTACTAAAGAAACTTTGATAACTTTGTCATTACACTAATTGCTATAATTTCGGTATTTCAAGCATTATCCCTCACTAGCCAAGATTTTAAACAAACTTAGTTTGTTTTGAAAATTAAATTTGATATTTATTTCAGTGGTACTGAACTGAAAGACAGCAAAAAGCATTCACATTTAATCATTTTTATTACTGTAGCAAAAAATATGATTATAAATAGCATTTTATCAGCGCATTCTAAATAGATAGTAGTATGAAAGTGTGCTGTGATTAAAAATTTGATTGCACAGTAAAGTGTAATGCTAGTAGCAAAAAAGGCTAATAATAAATAACAGCAAAGATAATACTGAAAGAATGATTAGAACATAAATTATATTTTTTAATTGTGGAAATTTTTCTAAAAATACAACCATAAAACAAATTGGTTACCAACTGGTAACAACTGCTACACACTTAAACAGAAAACGTATTCTTAGCAACTTATTTTTTGAGTTTTTAAACTTGCGTTTTTGTTTAAACACAAAAAATGCAAGTTTATTCCTGCGAATTAAGCAACTCAATGATTATTAATATTTTTAATAAGCGAAAATATTATAGTTGCTTTATCAAAGTGAAAAATCGAGAATAAATATTAATTTCTGACTTATTAAATCACAGGACCGTGAAAATTTTTGATTATTAATATCGATCGATTCATCGATTATATGAACTTGAATTTTTTGCAACAATTTAATGCTTAAACTTAAATTTGTATACTTTCTGAGGAGAACATTGACCTCTCACAATAATGTGAAGCCAAACTTTGAAGTCATTCAAATACTTCCTCTTCACAGTCTTCCAACTTGGAACTCAATTCAATTGTGCAGAAAACAAGGAAAAAGTGAGAGGAACAGTCAAATCACTCTCGACCCAAATTTAAAACGAGAAAACATTTTGGAGATATCAACGGAAAAAAGTTGGGTATTTCGCGTTGAAGTAGAGTGCACTCACAGTATATCTGGTCATCGCTTGCTCTCAAGTGCAAACCATTCCCAGCAAAGAGATGCAAGAAGTTAGTGAGTCTTAGCAAAGGTTAAAAGTTGCTCTGACCTCGCATGGAAGCTTATTCATAAAAAAATTTTTCTCGCAAAAGTATGCACGCATAAATTAGTAATTTGCGAGCATAACGTTGATCTTTGATGAAATAAATACCATTTCTACTTCACTTCTAATCACAAATAGTGAATGTTCTACAATACAATGCCAGTGTAAACATAACATAAATAGATAAATAAAAATTATAAATAAACAAACTGGACACCCCATCTGCAAATATATACTTACGTCTGCACAACACACACACACACACACATACACATACATCCATTGAAATGGAATTATGTAGAAAGTATTAGATAACGAATTAAATGCAACTAAGTAGCAGAGTTAATTCTGTACGATACGATTTTAGCTGCGAAAATTTGGCTTAATTTGAGAATACAAAAATTTACAGTATTTTTAAAGCAAAAGTATAAAACTGTTTAGAGTAATCTCAACAAATTAAAATTCCAGCAAAATAAATTTAGAAAAATTTTGAACCATTTTTTATAAAAATATCTAAATGTAACAAATATGGAAAAACAGAGCATTAATAATAATTAATAATATTATGTTATTATAATTACAATTATTACAATATAGCAATTGAAATAATTATTATACTATAATCACTTGTTACTATTATCATTGTTGTATTATAGTTATGTTAATTAATTGATAATTAAATGAAGAAAAATGGAGGTGACAAAAGAATATCAATCTTTAAGCTTCCAATTTAAATTTATTCCTTCTATTTTATTCATTTTTTAAGTTATAAAAGTTAGAGAGAACTTGAATAAAATCTTTTGATAAGTTTTTGGAAGAAGAAATGCAAAATTTGTAAAATAAGACAAAGTAAAAACAAACCGAAGAGTGAGTCGAAAAAACAAAAAATTTCAAATATTATCGCGTAAACGATGCGTAGAACTATCGTCCTGAAAATAATCGCACTAAAAGTCATAATTTTCGCTCGCATATCATAATTTGCAGACAGTAAGATGTCAGCGAAAACTTCTTCCTTACAACTGTCATTTTTTGATTTCTTTCGGTTTTACTTATTTTTTGTCATAAAAAATTGCTATAAATTGGAAAAAAGTAAGGCAAAATTATAAAATTGATCAACAAACACTGACGGAATGTAATTCGATGTAAACATTGATATAATCGCACGCAGTTTACTTGCGAAGATAAAATAATTCATAAACAGATTGGATAAGCTGCTCTACTTGGCATTATTTTTAAGGAATTTTTTGTAATGAACATGTGCATAATATAAATTTGAATTATTAATTTTTAATAAAAAATTATTAGTATTTTAGTAGATAGCTGCAGTTAAACCGAGACAAATGTTCGAAAAGATGACTTATTTATGCATTTAACGCACTGATAACAAGCGTACGTTTCTGGTAAGCGTTTTGATAACAAAACTTATGCTTGTCATCTTATGTTGCACAAAAATGTGCAATGCAAAAGAAATCATGCAAATTTTTTCTTTCGAAAACCTTAAAAATTGCGTTTGTAAAGAGTAAAGGGCTTCGCATATGCTAATTTCATTACGAATTGATAGAGTTGTACAGCTGATGAGATCAACCGCTGGTTGAGAAGTCACTGCACCTGAAAATTAGTATGCAAAATAATAAATAAATCATTACTATGCGAAAAAATGCAATAAATTATTTTATAATCATTAATAATTTTTAATTTAATTATGCTTGTCATTCAAAAAGACACTCAGTCAAATATTATTTTAAAGACTTATATAAAAATCAAAATACAAAATTACCAATTATAAATTAAAAATAGTAAAAAATTCGATTAAAAATAATTTCATTACCAACAAAATTGTAATATTTCGAAGACTTAAAAAATGAATAGATGATTTTAAGATAATGAATTAAAATATGTATTTAAAAAAAGAATATTTTTCAACAAAATTCACTTTATTAGAAATTGATAAATGTAGAACAATTTTTTCGCTTCTAATTTTCATTTGCCAATTAAAAAACAAGCAAGTTAATTTAATAATCGAAATTTAAATAATTAACAAAAGATAAATATCAGATTGCATTGCGAGTGCTACACAAATTAAAAAAATATTTTGCAGAAATGTTGTTAAAAAATCGAAATAATTTCCACACTAATCTGAAATACATGAATTGTAGTACTAAAAATTAAAATTAAAATTAAAATATATACGCAACATATTTCAATTTCTGGTTTCAAAGGCAATTTATTTAAAACATAGTTTATTCAATACATTTTGACAAATTGTTTGTGATAAAATATGCAAATTGGGGAGCTGATTATTGTATAATACACAAATTCTATACATCAAAATTTAGCAATTATGTTTCCAGTAAGTATTATTAGCAATTATTTTAAAAAACACTTGAAAACTTTTTAATTACTCAATCATTAATAATCAAATAAAAATCTGAAGTTGAATTTTTAGAAGTCTATTTTATGACTACACTTAGTTTCATGATTAGACTAGGATAAATTCTGCGAGGAAATATGAGAAAATTATTTTACATTGTGGAAAATTAAAAGATTAATTGAATACGATCTGGTGGTCACTAAGTTTTAATTTTCTTTTCAAGGAATCAATAAAACTTTGTAATTAATTAATGAGCGACTGATCAGCGATGAAGTTGAAATTTATAAACAAAATCAAAAAAAGATTTGAATAAAAAAGGTAAAATTAGAAATTAAAAGTAAAAACAACCTTTAGTTGCGTGTAAACGAGAATGATATATAAGCGGTCGACTGCCTTCCAACACCAAACTATCATAACTTACACTGCCAGCACTATTTAATGCAAAACTATCGAAAGTTAAAGTGGCAAAATTTAATTCGCCACTGCCAGCAATGCCTCCTCCAGCAGTACTACTCGTTTCCGTGCAGTTATTACTTGTTGAATTTCCGCTTATACTGTTACCACTCATACCTAAATACACTTCATTACTATTAATCAAAGTTGATTATGCCAACAGTTATTTTGGTAACAAATATATGACTCAATTTAAAGTTGCTAAACCTGCGCCTGCATTTATCACTAGAAATAAAATAATTTTCACAAAAACATTCAAAATTGAATTTCAATTTTGAATTTTTCAAATTTGAAACATTAATTTGCACTAAAGATAGTGCGGGAATTAGACTTTTAGGAAAAATGCAATCTGGGCGACAATTTTTTCCATGAACTAGTTCTAATACTAAAAATTTGGATTACATATTTGCATTGCTCTTTCCCATAAATGGAAATACTATGCAATAACAACTAATTTTCTACTTTTTTGCTTCATGTAAATGACGTGAAGGTCACGCAAAATTAGATGAAATTAAAATAAGAAATAACCTGAGAGATGGCTGCTAAAAATGTGGTCTGAACTTAGACAACTACCATAAATGTTATGGCCGTTGGCAAAAGTATGAAAAGTATTTCCATGACAAAGTCTTCCACTCTGTTCATAATCTAGTGTTGTCTGTGAGCAATTTCCTACTTCCAAACTATTCACTTCTATAACATTTATTAATCAGTTTAAATCAGCTATTTAAGCTTATTTTTACATAAATCTACAAATTTAATAATTAAATGTATACATATATATATACAAAGAAGAATAACCTCCGTGTGATATTGATTGATTGATAAATACACTTATATTCATTTATTTATTATTTATTTACATTTGGAATAGAATTATCAGAATCTATTTGTATACTTATCCATCTGTTTCTGTACTAACAACGAAAGAAAGGCTATTTGAATGAATAGAATTAATTTTATCACAAAGTTAAAGAAATGCTTCTCCCTGAGAATACCATTTGCACACGATGAAATTGCTTTGAATATAATATCTAAGGCAAGCTAGACAATTTATTGAATAAATTTGCTGCTAAATTTGTCGAATTATTCAAAAATGTTTTAATAGAATAGATAATATCATCGAAATGACTGATAACTGAATGAGCACTTACACTTAGATTTTAACATTGCAGAATTTACATACTAACAAAGCCAATAAATGCTTGCTATCAAAGCACAATTAATACTCGCACATACGCCTAAAGCTTACAAAGTAAATTGTTACCTGGATAAACTAAGCGGTTTTCGCTAGACGATTGCTCATCATTGTTTGAATCATCGTTTTTATTCAAAACAGAGACAACAGGTGTTGAGTCAAGCTTAAACTTCACAGCTCTCATAGTTCGATTGGAAGCATTCTCACAGATCAAAAAATCGCTATCATTGTTGATACTCTCAGATCTGAATTCAATCAGAAATTGAATAATGGTGTTCCACTATTATTCACTACTGAATAGCAGTGAATAATAATATTTTAGCAAATAATTGATTTTTTTACAAATTTTTATTAATAATTTTTGTCCTATGTAAAGTTTAAATTCGAAATGTCAGAATTTCAGGATGATGAAGTTTCTCTTTGAACGTTTTGTGAAATAGATGAAAAACTTTCGTACTTCAATTCAGTTGAATAAATAAATTTAAAGTGAATAATAACCTTGTTGGATCTGGCGCAAAATGTTGATAAAAATCCGTATTACTTCTTACTGAATTACAATCAACGCGTTCGTCACATGAAATGATCGGTTTTTCATCCACAGATGAACTGTTTGTTATCGATGTACCAAAGTCGATATTTGCTTCAACTGCATCAATATATGCAAATTCATCCTATATGCAAATTTTTTATTTCCGAAGAAGTCAAAATTACGATGATTCTTTGAATTGTTAAAAAATTCGCTAATGTTTTGACGATAAAAACAATGAAATATTTTAGCACTAAAAAACTTATTTGTAAACTGAAGTTGATAAATTTGCAAATTTTTATTGCTCTTTAAAAAATTAATCAGTTTACTGCTTTGAGAAATTCCAACTTTAAAAATTTTTTTACTGTAAATTTATTATTTAATGCACTATATATAAATTTTTTCACAGTTGTTAATTAACTTATTAATCTTCATTTTCGTTGAATTCTCACTCAAAATTAATTAAATATCATAAATCTTTGGTCACAATTTATTATACTTTTGCAGACATTTAGCATGAATGTAAACTTGTAAGCAAATAAAACTTTTTCATGACCAACATGTATGTCAAATTTAAATATAAAAAAATTAAACTTACTTTGATGCAATGAATCAAATTTAACATCAGATGAAAGTATAAATAATTTCATTCGGTAATAACTGAAATTATTAAACAGATAAAACTTACAGTACTAGCTGGATGGTCAAAACTGCTTATGAAGGAAAGACATTCTCGACATTGATTTCGATGTCTTCGAAGTGCTAACATTGATCTGAAAATTTTGCTAATTACTTCATTAGAATCTTTAAGCTATGATTGTTTTTTCAAAAAATAGAAACTAACACATAAACTACGCAAAGAGTTTTTGAATTATATCTAATAATTCGACAATAAAAATATTATTTTCACCTAAAAGAAGCATTGCAGTTAGGACAAAATATTCCAGAATCCTTGGAGTGTAATTCTGAATGCTTTCTCAATTCAAAGTCTGTTTGAAATCGTTGTGGACACATCTCACATAGTACTGACAATTGTTCTAATTCGTTGTGATGAGCTGTATGTCGACTCAGGTAACCACGAGAAGGAAACTGTAGTTTGCATTTCCGACATTGATAAAGCTGAACTTTTATTTATTCATTAAATTATAACTTTTGACCGATTAATATAGAAATGAACTTATATAGCACCATTTATCGCAAATAATGCTATTAACTTTGTGGTCAGTACAAAAAGTTGATATTATCCAAAAAACTTCATGCAAGCATTTTAAAAACGTTTCAAATTATTCACCACTTGAAGTAAAATTATCAATCAAATGAAGTGACCGCATACAAATTCAGTGTCCATCAATTACATTATATAGCATCATCAAAAATATATGGCAAAAATTCTATCATTTTTTAAATGTAAGAATGCCAATAATGTATGTAAAGTTAATGTACTATCACAATAACTTCAAAAATTAGATAAGTCTAAATGCTTATTAAGATATAGCATTAGTTGGAACTTCTGTTAAAGCATATTACTGAGTTATTTAGTCCTATTTTTGATAGTACATAAGAAATTAAGTGAGCAGTGCCAAACTTTAGTCCATTTTAAGAAATCTGAGGCACAACTGTTAATCATATTTTTATATCTCTTGCTTTATTTTGAAAGCGTTTTAAGCAACTAATTACTACCTTATTTCTGTACTTTTCTAAGTAATTATCGATTGCTGCTTGATCGAGAAATATTTTTGGAGCTGTGATTTCTCGAAGTTCCATTTGTTGTTTTATTGTCAGTACTTCAGGACTTATTGGTTCTACGGGAACAGCTATCTCTTCACTACACTGCTCCACTGATCTCGTTGGAAGTGTAAAGTCTCGATTTTCACTGCAAAAAAACATTTAGACTTGATCAAAATATCATTATTACTACTACTACTGCTGTTGTTGTTGAAATATGAATTAATTCAATCACTTATTACTACCGAAAATTTCATCAGATGTGATTTGCTCAGTTTACATCTCAAAAAGTCTCATTCAAACAATGAATATCGCATTGTGACTTCCGCTCGACAAAATGACTGCTTGCAATGAAAACTTATCGTACTTTTGCGAAAATTTTCGTCACAATTTTCGTAAAAGAATATTATTCTTAATATTATCAGCAACTCAAGCATTATTTAATACATTTAGCAAATGCAACTGCAATTTAGCAACTGAAGCGCCCTTCTGACTTCTTGAGTAGTAAATATTTTACTGAATGATACTTTGACGCTTATTTGGAATTCTCATTGGGCAAAACGGCTACTTAAAGTGACAATTTGCTTCATTCACACTAATGAAATAAAGACAGAAATCATTCGAATTTCAATTTTCGTACTAAACTTTCAAAAATTAAGGCTTGACAATTCAAATTAATTCGAATAATTTGTCCCCCAAAATAATTTAATTATTTCATACTTTACTTAATTGAAGAGATTTAATCTATTACTAATATAACTTTGCAAAAAGTTGGAGTGAAACCGGTCAGAGATGCTTTTCTCATTATTTTAAATATCATTGAGCGACGTATGGTTTTCTGATTTTGCATATTATGCAAATTTTGAGATACTTGCAATATGTGAAAAGGGTGACCAAGGACAATAACTTTAAAATTCGATCATATTACTTATTTTGCATTGTATATAAACTCAAACAATCAAATTTGAAATCTAAATTCATTATGGACTGAAAGTCAGTACTAAAACGTTCTTTCTGATTTTACGGCGCTATTTTTAATAATTAAAAAATTAAAATTGCCTAAAGAAATTTCCAACGTGAGCAGGTACAATTCTTCGTGGTGTTGATAACATTTGTGATCGTCGGTGATCAAAAAGATGCGATTGATTCACGGTAATGCGACACATCAGACGTTTGCTAAAAGGCCTATAAGACTAACAATTAAATTTGTAATTTTTTATTTCGCTAAAAATTAAATCCAAATTTAGAAATGAAAGTTTTATTTGCTGGTAAAATTCATCAAAGATGAAAAATAGACTAACATATTGCCATTTTTAGTTCGATCAGGACATTTGTGTTGGTAAAGATTTGACCGAAATTTATAAGTCTGAAAAAACTTTAATAATTTGATAACTTGAAGTTGTTAAGTTCCATTTCTACTAAATATCAATGAAAATTATAATAATATTATATCTTAATTAACTAACTTCAGGAGTTATTTTTATTTTTTATAATAATTTAAATTGGATAGTATAGTCATAATTTACAAATTTGAGTATTATTATATAGCACTCACCACTGCATTACTTTTTGTTTCCTGTTTTAAAGTAAATTTAGTTAAGACAAGCTGAACAAATTTCACTCATATGAGTAATTAGTGGCGGAAAATTATAATTGAATAAATACATGAATAAATGAATAAACAAACTAATTAAATAAATAAATAAATAACGAACTGAGAGATAAATTTGACCATTTTTATAGCATGTAATTAGATGAAAGATTGAATAAACTGGTATATTTATTACAAAAAAATCACACTTTAATTGGAAAATTTTCTAAAAGAATTCGATAAATTAAGGAGAATAATATAGTGAAATGTGATCAGAACTACGGATAAAAATAAAAGTAATGAAAGTTTGCAATTCTGTTAGCATTAAGAATTCATTGCAAATTGTGGACAAATTATGAATATTTTGCCGCTTGCGACGAATTGAAAATTTTCAATTTTCATCAATTGTGCGCTCTCTCAATTTGCTACACAACTAACTAGTCAGGCAAACACGTTGAAAAATAAGCAGCAAAGAGTTGAAATTGGCAAATTTAAAGAGAGTCAAATCTTTGAAGTGAAATTTCAAACTTTCGTGGAAAAGAATTATACTTAAACTTTCCAACTATCACTTCAATTTTTTCATTTGAACTCTCTGAAATTAGTAAATTAATTCATCAAAACGTGTTATCGCATGAAGCAGAACTATTCTGTGCATACTAATGCTTTTTTTCAAAAATCTGATTGAAAGTTGGTACGGAAAATTGAGAAATAGAAAAATAAAATGTCATATATCAGCAAGCAAAAATCAGAAAAATTATTTGGAATAAAATCTATTTTTACTACTTCTCTCATGCAAATAATTCCTGAAATTTGGGCTTTTAGAACTGCTCGCTTTTAACTCCAGTTAGTTGGCAAATATAAAATATAGCATCACTAAGGAAATTTACTGACAAGAAATTATGCAAGCCTTTAATTTATGCAAATATATTACGAGCACATAAATATAATCACTTTGAATAACTTCCAGAATGCTTCAAAGTAAAATATTCAAGATGGACCTTATAACAAAATTTGCATCTAAATGGTCGGTCATTAGAATGCTTCACGGCGTGTTGTTTAAGGTACCAAACGGAATTGAACAACTTGCCACAATCCTTGCACGCACATTGTTGATTCTTTTCCAACGTGATATTCACGTTATCGACTTCAGTCGGACAAATTACAACGGGGGGAGGAGGAACTGTTGCTTCTGACGGTTGATTCTGTAAGGTAATTTGCTTTTTCATTCAAGCATTTTTAGTACCGTTTAGATGGGTTCTCATTTAAAAATTTTTACAAATCTACATAATGAATTAATTTGCACAGTTGTGGTAAAGTTTAATTTGTGCAGCAAACAATGATTAGCAATTATAAAGAATACTTGTAATTTCCAAGAAAGTTATTGTAAATATTTTTTGGTAAAGCTGTAAAAATTCAAAAAACATTAAAATATTTTTGTCATTATTAACTAATAATTTCACGTAAATGTAAGTAACTGAAACCTTTATCGAAATACTGGAAAACCTTTTTTTACTTTTTTTGATCGTTTTAAAAACAATTTTTAAAAAAACTGTAAATTTATCAAGTCTAATTTTGTTAAACTGTTATATAGCACCACTGCATATTTTTTTAAATTCTCGCAAGATTTGAGATCCGAAAATAGCGCTAAAAATAAATAGAAATCATAAATTTTGCTAGCTATCTGTGAAATAAAACACAGGAAGAAATTTGAAATTTAAACTATAAAACTGACGAAGAGAATTTAATCGATTAAATTAAAGTTTAAATATAATAAAGTACCATTCGAACGCCCTCCAAATTCAAATATTGCTGCTCAATTTGCATCATTTTGCCTGTCAAACGACAGTCACAAAACTTTAACAAAGTCTAAATTCAGCCTTTCCGTTTCATTTTTGCTTTAGCACCTTCGAAAGTCTTCTGAAAATTCAGCGATTCAGTCACTTTAGAAAATAAACAATGAAGTCATTCGTATTTATTGACAATAACTTGGATTAATACATCAGTGATATCTCTAATAATAATAACTACTTCAATCACTACTTTAATTAAGACAAAAAATGTCACTAATTAATTAGTCAGTAAAATTTTTAAAGATTAATAGTTAGGGAAGTGAGCAAATAAATAAAGCATTTCAATATAAAATGAAATTATAATCAAAAAGTTTAGTGCAGTAAACAGAGAGAAACAATTTAAAAAATTTTCAAATTGCGATATAAAATGGAAAAATAAACAGTCTATATTTGTCTCATTATTCTTTGGTAAAGTAATAATATTTAATTATACTTTTCAAAAAGAGGAAAATAAAAACTATTTGAGAAATGCAAAGAAATTGAGAGATAAACTATGCTACCAAAATTCGAATAACATATTTATTATACATACTAAAAATTACCATTTGACTGTCATGAGTTAATTAGTGTTCAATTATTAGGATATATCAAAAAATTACAGAACAGTTTACATTCACACTACGAAAATCAATTTTTTCTTACCAAATAATAATAAAAAATTTGCATAAATAGTTACACCGCAAAAGTCTGACCGAACACATATAATTGGTAAATACTAAAGTTACTAAAAATAATCTGCAAAATCAGAGCACTCATTGAGAATAAATTCAGCAATGGGATTAATAGTAGAGGACAATATTTGTAAGCATACAATTTAGCTTAGTAACTTTGAAGTTAGCAATTTTCTATGAGTGAAGTAGACAAAAATTCTAACAATTAATTAAAAATAATTGTCGACACGGAATGAAACCGAATGAAAAGAATAATTACTCTGAAACGTATAGTCTTATGAATTTTTGCTTCTAAGAAGCATAAACAAAAAATTATCATTAACTAAAAATGTATTCCATACCAATGTCTGTTTATTTTCATATTACTGCTGATAATAAATGACAGGTGGAAGGGAATATTCTTCTTCCAGCGACTTTGCTTCTTTTATTCGCAAAAACAAGCGCTCAAATTTAAATTGAATTTTATTTGCATTTAGTTAAATAAAGCAAAACCACTTCAGCACTTCAATTAGGCAAACTTTTTTACTTACTTTGTTGAACAGTCTTTGGTGTCTAAGTTTTGACTTAATTTTAACGAATGAAAAACTTGACTGCGTGAATGTAGTCAATGAATAAGGTAAATAAATAAACAATATTTATCGTTTAATATAAAATTAGACTAATGTCAGATGAATGATAGAAAATGATCTGACTGAATTTTCAGTTACAATATAGAAAGTATTCAAACACCATAACAGAGGCCAATATCAAATAAATGAAGGTTGTGATCAAATAACGTGAGATAAATATTAGACTGAAGATATTATTTTAATTACCAAATTTTGATTGCACTGAACTATACAAATTTCAAGTTTTTATTTGAACAGTTCGATCAGAATTTGTATGAATTATAGATGTATAATTTTAACGATGGAAAATATGTAATAGTAAGGAATTGCTTTCATGGCATACAGAACTTAAATGGCGTAAAAGTCAGGCAAGAAAGAAATTTGATAAATGTTTTGGGTGCTAAGTTTTCGACAGATCTCATGCATGTGAGCCATGTTTTAAATAAAATTGATGTAAAATAGCGATTTATTTCTGAAAACTTGATGAAAATGAAACAAAGAATCTATGGTAGCGATCAAAAAAGTTATTTAAGCACTCAAACTTAGTTTTAAATTCGATTAATACTTACTATTGTTAATGCTTAAAATGGCATTATCAACTGAAAAGTGCTCAACATGGATTGTCTTTAAAATTACAAACTTTTTTGTATTTGATTAAATGAAATAACTACTGGTTTTTGAGAGCAATTATAAATCGACTAAAATGAATAGAAAAAACTGCAGGATGTGTAGTGATGATAACTTTTTGACTTTTTATGTTTAAAATAGTAAGCAAATTAATCTCAGTTATGTCATAAAATTACAATCATTATTACAAATAAATATTTGAGGAATAAAAATGTCCAAATTTATGAAGTCAAATAAAATTATAAAAAATAAATCATAGAAATAATTCTTTTTTTAAATTGAAAAAAATTCTATCAATGTCATTTATTTATTGAAAAAAACTAACAAATTAAGATATGCAAAAGATCCTATAAATACTTCAATATTAATAAGTAGCGAAAAAATTGATCAATCATGCGAATTTTGTTGTGTTGACAAATTTTTTAATTAAAAAAAAGATTGCTCCGTTGAAAAACGATAATTTTAAAATTGTCACCTCAAAATAGTCAAAATTTTGCAAAAAAACCATAAAACAGTCACCTAAAACAAGGGCTTTTTGAACACAAAAAAGTAATAATACTTCCTTAGTCGTTCACTCCAAAATTCATTTTTTCAGTTCATTTCAATTCCAGTTTTTACACTTCTAAAAACGATTAGTTTTTAAATTTGAAAAGTTGAAAAATAATCAATTATTTAGCTTTTCAATATCATTCGTAGCAGAATTTCTGATAGAATACAAAAGTAATGCTAGCTCAACGATGCATAAAGAGAATTACCACAAATTGCTGTATTTTTCATTTTATTTCAACAATTGTTCAATTTTTATGCATAAAATACAAGTTGACCAGTAGAGTGAGGTGCTATAAAAATATTGTCATTTGTATGTATTTCATTAAAGTTTTAACAACTACATCACAGTAAGCTTTCAAATTTAGTAACTAAATATCTGATTATTTTTTATGCGAAAAAAATTAAAGTACAAGTATAAAATAAGAATGAAATAAAAACAGCTGTGTGTAGAAATTTATAAAAAATTTTATACTGCATTTATAATTTGCACCGCAACTGAGTCTTAAGTAACCATAAACTGACTTGACTGATTCAAAAAAAGATTACGTGTTTTGTATAGAGCAAGCTTTCCGCGATTTTTAATATTCGTTATCACAATCAAATTTTCAAATATTTTAATTACCTTCAGGATGACAGAGATGTAAGTTGAACAAAGTAAGACGAACTCCCGAGACATTATTTAAGTACTTTGCATTTAGTCATTATATTTTAGACAAGTAAAAATAAAAAGTCTATTTTTACAGTTCATTTTCTATCACTTTAATATACTGTACTGATTACAAAATTATTCAATTACTTAAGTTTGTCCTATGAGAAAGTTGAAAATTTATAAAATGATGCGAAAACAAATGTTTAGAAGAGCTTTTTACTGATAACAGAATTCAGCTAAACTTGTCCAAAGTTTACAGTTCACAAATCAATAAAAGCAATTTTAATAAATAAAAACAATACTTTCCAAAAAACTTATTCATAAATTATCGATGAAAGTAATAAGAAGGAGACAAAATTCTAGCGTTGCATATTTAATGAATACAGTAGTTTTGTGGTTATAATTTACTAATAACTAGAGAAAACTGCAGCAAAATTCAACTTTTATCTTATAAATCTGTAACAATGAATAATTTTTGTAATTTTCACGAAAAGAGGAAGAGCTATCTTAAAAATTTGAATAATTTATCAAAAATTATCTAAAAAAATTACAATTACAAATTTTGTGTACGGAATTCCAAAGGAAGAAACTGTCTATGAAATTATGAATTCTGTTTTTGTTTAGAAAATTCGTAATTTTATAAATTTTAGACAAAAAATAGAAATTTACTTAAAAACTTTTACTGATCAATATTTAACTTTTATGAGCTGATTCCTTTTTATCTATTTTTTTCTCAATAACTTACTTTGTATCAAAAAAAATTCTGCCAAAAAGTTTTATTGTTTAACTTTTAATTTCCCAGTGACATCTGAATATGCTTCCGTTTTAATAATTAAAGCTTTCTATTATTTAAAAAAAATTCTTTCTATATTTTAGAAAAATAATTTTGAGAAAAAGTAAGAACTTACTTTGTATCAAATTCTCTGAGCACTTTCAAAATGTTCCTTTTATTTTTAGAATCAATTTTAATTTCTACTTTTTTAGAAGTAATTTCAAAAACTAAATGCTGTAAACTCTTATCTTATCAATTAATAATACTTAAATGCACCTTTTACTAATTAATATTTAATTTTTCATTTTTTGCAATATTTCATTAATAAAATATTAAAGTTATATGTTAGCAAGAAGTTATTAGAGAAAATGAATCAGTCAGTGGAAGGTTAAAAATGTTTTCATGATAAAATTCTGAAGGACAAATTAGGATATAAAAGAGAGAATAAATGAATAAGTAAGTAAATGAATAATTAACGTACCGCAAGTTGAACTAGCGAT